GGAATTCATTTGTTTAGTCAATTACCAAAATTTGGATGATTTTGAATATTCACTTGAAAAGTTATCAAAGAAAAACATTTTTCATTTTGTAACTTCGAGGGCCCGTAACTTGGTTACCAAGACTTTTAGGAAAAAAAGTTATATGAAGTACTGGTGATATTTTGACCCCATCTATACATTCCCGAGAGGAAAAGAGGAAGTCCAGGGGCACCCTGTATATCGGCATGTAAGTTGCAATATAAGTATAAACCAACTCGGTTTTATGAAAAATCGTTCAACGTTCACCAATCTTCTGACTGTAACCCAACATATCGCTGAATCTATTGACAATAGGGCCAAACTGATGTTATTCACACATACTTTTCCATGGCATTCTACCAAACAAACTGGTAGCCTTTGGATTATCTCCATTCTTAATCGCACTCTTTCAGTCCTATCTACGGGATCGAAAACAATGTTCAGATCAATGGTTTCAAATCTACCGAATATAATGCTTTTTCCGGTGTCCCACAAGGGTCAAATCGGGGACCGTTGCTCTTCAATATCTTCAGTAATGATATTGCAGATATTATATTTGTATATTTCCTTTTGTATGCCGATAATCTAAAACTATACTGCCTCGTTGACAACATGATTGTGTGAACCTCTCAGCAAACGGACTGGTTGTAGAATGGTGTTATCAAAATAACTTATCGATAAACCCGGATAAATGTAAGGTCATGTCCTACAGTTTGAAAATGAACATCTTGATCTTTGATTATTCAATAGAAAACGTTTACCTGGTGAGACCAGAAACATTTATTGATCTTGACACTGCATTATTATTTAATAGACATATCGATAATGTTGTAACCTCCTCCTGTCCGGAGCCCCTTTTTTCCATATCATATAGATAGAATACAAGCAATTCAACAACGATTTTTAAAACTGCTATAGTGTTGAACTAACCTATAAGATTATCAAAAGCATAGTTGACTGCCCAACATAGGAAAAGTTTAATATTTGCTTTCCTACAATCTGTTCCAGAGACCCGTGTACTTTCTATATAAAAATATCTCGCACAAAAGTTCTGGAGAATTCTCCGATCCATACCATGTGTAAAGTGACAAACTCTGTCAGCGATAATTTAGATATATTCAGTTGCAAATTGTCAGATATAGAATCCCACTTCCTAAAATAATTGCTTTCTCACTTATTATAAAAAATATAAAATGTGTAGTCTTTATAGTCACTTATTTGTAGTGTTTGTAGACTTTACAGTCACTTGTTTGTGATGTATTTATTATACTCTGTCATTTCCTGTTCTGTAATTGGGCTATGTCCTGTAGAGTATTGCATTACAACTAAATAAATGAATAAATAAATAATATGAGGTAATAAGCTTGAGGTCAGTTCAGTAGATGCTCGAAATGGTTGCCTTGAACTTCTTGACATATGAACAGCCTATCCGATATTTCACGCCGAACATTCTCGAACACAGTAACGTCAATATCTTTATACATATTTATTATTCTCTGCCGTATATCAAATATTGAAGCAGGTTCAGTTCGGTACACCTTCTGCTTCAAATAGCCCCATAAAAATAAAAAAGCACAAAGGTGTCAAATCTGGCGAGTGGGCTGGCCATTCTGTAGGACCTCGACGGCCAATCCAATGACCTGGGAAAGTACTATCAATAGTTTCTTACTTGTCTGGAGTAATGTAGTGGTGCTTCATCTTGTTGGAATACAATATCCATATCGAATTCAGTGATGAGAGGGTCAACAGTAGTTTTCAGCTTATTCAAATACAATTCCCCTGTTGAATTTTGATCACTTCAAAATGAAGTATTCACGCATCAATTTTATCATCCCAAATTTAAATTTTTTGAGTTGACTCGTTCAAAAAATAAAAGGGGGAGACATTAAAGAAATGCACTGTATAGATATTCCTCTCATGCCGATACATTGGATATTATCCGACACCAGAACACTCCAGTCGCAGTTCTACAAGAATTTTGTTTTCCAAACACTACAATTGTTGACCTAGCCACCATGATGGAGAGAACCTAATGATTCGATCCATAATATGAGTATGACCCATTTTCCACTGACATCGCAAATCCCTTCTGTCCCTCCCATTTTTCCCAAGAAATCCTCATCCCCTTTGTCCACCGTTCTGTGAAAGCTTCTCCAACGTGAACGTATCAGTTGCATCTGAATGCCTGTAATAAAAACAAGATAGTTTCGATCCAGTATCCCGCGTTCTTTGTTCCTGTCTGAGAGGGAACAACCTTTTTGTATCCAATTAGGGCTTTGTGTGTTTCTTTTTCTTATTCGATGTATTTTGAGGACAATGGCATTGAGGTTTCCGGGAATTTTCCTTTTGTACAGTAGTTATGAAACACGCTGTGTTTCGGACGATTAATATCCATTGATTCTCAATTGGATTATTATTCAATATCATTACAAATTTCTAAGTACTGCTATCTACATGGACGCTGAATCAAATCATTGATAAATATATCGTTTTTATCTTAATATTTTGTTTTTTCTAGGATAAGTGGATCACTTCGAAGTCATAATGTATGTTTGTTTTTGAAGTGTGAAAACAAAAATTAATGGCTTTTTCAGATAAATTTCATTTCATCACTTCGATAGCGAAATTAACAAATAATAATGATTTACTGAGAATTAAAAGTCACAGAATATCTCAAAAAGGACTCTGAGCAATAACAAAATGGAAGTAAAAATGAATTTTGTTGCGATGTCAACAATCATTGATGGTGGGGTCGAATCTTTGAAGAATGTAGTGAATTGATTCCAAAAAAGTTTGACGAAATTGTTGATTCAAAGTCATATTCCTGCAATGCTAGCCGAGAAACTGTCAATGATCATTTTCAATCCAAGCAAACAAACAATATACATTATAGGCACTCTAGTAAAAACCGAGGTTTTTTATGAAGACATACACAAGCTTCAAGATCGAAAAGTTGTTGGCCTTCCACTAACCCATCTTGATACAAAAAATATTTTTGTATCGAGATGGAGAAGTAGAAGGCCAAAAACTTTACCAAAAATAAATCTCTTCTAAAAATATACGCTTTTAATTCTACCCTCGACAGGAAGCTGACATGGAAGGAATTCTCACCTACAGAGTAGAGAAAAAAGAGCATATGTGGCTTATGAGTAATGTTGGAGAACAGTGGAACGCACATGAGGGTCTATCACCCCGTGTGGTTATCTGGATCTACACTACCATAATAAGATCTATGTTACCGTGCGGAGCCAATACATGGGGACCGAAAGTTCCACAAGCAACTACCATCCAATAATAATATCAAATACAGCGATTGACTTGTTTGAACATCACAGAAGCTATGAGAACAACACCAACCGCGTCAATGGAATGAATTACTGGTCTGATCCCTCTGGACCTGCGTTAATGACCATGTTACGATTGCGCACGGCTGGTGTAAACCTCGAAGTAGGAATGGATCAATTGAGACATAACAACCTGCACTGATAGTAGGCAAGCCCTATTAGGCTTGAACAGACAACGTGTAACTTCTGCGCTAGTACTAGAGTGCCACCAAGATTAAGCCAAAGCCTCGGTAGCCTCCTTAGCCAAGGAAGCGGCTTGACTAAGAATTTTAGGACTCAGTGACATCTACGGAACTAGCCAAACGTCACACACATGCTCAATCCCTAAAGAGATGGGATGACATCAAAGGATGCAATTTTGCCAGGATCACCCTGGGCGACCTTGGGAAGCTAGGGCCAAAGAAATATCTGACAATGACAAGGAAGAATGTACGCTTAACAGTAGGATTTCTGAAGAAATGAACTTTGAATGTTCAAGCCAGTCTCGGATATACCTACACCGTAGGTCGAATGGACTGTCGCCTATCAGAAAACAACTACTCCTCTGGCTAATACCACGAACGGCGTTGGATTATATTCCAGTCACTTTCGGTTTCACCGGAAACGCACCGGTTCTGAATTTGTAAACGGAACACCCTGTATATTGTAACATATTTGTTAGAATGTGGAATTTTCGAAAGTTTTGAGCCTACTTAATTTTTTCAGAGTAACTTTTGAATTTGCATCTAGGTGATCATGATCGGATGTAAAGTAATCTAAGGACCTCAGTTGATATCAGAAAATTACAATCGCAGACTTTCAGTGACTAGTATGTTAGATAAGAATGAGACATATTGGCACAATTACATTTTCGTGTCTAACTATCAGTTTTCAAATGGCGGCCATTCTTTGACAAGCCTTTTCCGAAAAAAGGATTTTTTGACGAATCTAACGATACTGATTTCTTCGCGATTGGATTACAAATAGGAAGATAAATTAAATATCACTGAGAAAAATACTTGATAATGATTCATTTACTTTCATCAAAAGTGTGCCATGGATAATGATTTATTTGCTTTTCTGAGCACTTTCCGATAAAAGGATTTTTTGACGAATCTAACGTTGCTAATTTATTTGCGATTGGATCAACATTTTCAACAAAATTAACTAATCATTTCTGCGGTGCACTTACTTCGTTTGCAATATTCTAAATTTTCAATAATACCACTATAGTAAATTTTCAAAGTGCGTTATTCCTTGTTCGAAACGCAAAATACAGGGTGTTTTATTTAAAAATTTAGAGCTGGAGCCATTTCCAGTGAAACCAGAAATAACCGGAAAATGACGAATACCTGAAAACTATCCTCTTCACATACCATTTACCTATACCAAATCTCATTTTGATATACCTAATAGTCTAGAAGTTATGAATCTAAAAAATGAACTTTAAACGTTCAAGCTAGTCTCGAATATACCTACACAGTAGGTTGAATGGACTGACACTTATCAGAAAATAACTACTCCACTGGCTAATACCACGAAAGGCGTTGGATTATATCCGACAGGCGTCAGTGCAGGAATCTTCACAGAAAATTTCCTGCATATGCAATTGGCAATACAACTGAAAGAGTCGACCTTCAATTTTGGAAAGGGCACACTTGCAGACCGGTTTCGGGCTCAATAGCCACTCATCAGTGGCTAATAGATTCGTTTATACCCGGTATAGTTGAATAATTTTTGAGCGATTGCGAAAACTTCAAAAACAATTTTGTTTCTTTCTCAGTAACTCTCTTTCGATTCTGGTTCAATAATCAAATTATTCTGACTCAACTCGTGCATGTACAAATTCAAAATATTCATATGAATTTTGAAGTATCCATTGCATCGAAGATTATTTGAAAAATTTTAGGCCATACTAGGTACCTATGCATGGTTTGGAACACTGTGTTGAAAATAATCAACATCTATTTACAATTTAACCACATTCCACTTTCAGCAATATTGAATAAATGAATGAAGTTATGAATCAAACAAGAACATACACCTCAACTCAATGTAAACAGGTATCATGTTCATATTTCGATTATTTTTTGGAGAAAATTAGTAACTGATGAGAGGGACAGGAATGGAAGTTAATTAATATCAAACCATTTGCAAACAAACGCAAAGGTTGTACCTGCACCATTATTTGAAGAAGTTCTAACAATAATCTAGGTATCTGCTGGTTTCATCGTTCATGATCAAATAGCCAATCCCATATATGCATTACAACACTTTATTTACAGAGTGTAAAATGATATGTATATCGATCAACTGTGCAAAACTCAAGTGTGAGGACAAAGGTGTTCCCTATGACGTTTTTGGCTTTTTCCCCATATTATTTTCAAGTCATTTTCATGTGGACTGTGAGTTTTCAAATCTATTGACTTTTGACACATCACGTTATCATCCAGTTTCTATGGATTGATAATTCACAATTCAATTTCATCAAAACACAACCATCAATTTATGATCTCATACAATTTTGAGTATAGATAACAGAAGAATTGAAATTGTGACAGATACGATGAACATTATTTCTTCTGGGGACAAAACACAAGCACAAAAGGAAAATTTTTGAGGCTCTCTAAGATCAGTGCCTGTGCGAGGAGTTTTCAAACAGTTCTTCAGGTAATTTTAAGACGAAATATTCATATAAACATGGGTCCGCAAATCCTTCGTTCTCGAAACACAGGGTGTTAAAATGAAAATTAAAAAAAAAAGTTATTCGTAAATATCTTAAATATCCTTTACCTAATTTCGTTGTAATTTGGCAATGGTATTAATAACATTAAGGAGCTAATTTAGTGCGAACGTGATTCAATTTATCAAGTCCAGTGGCGTCTTGAGCGAGATTTGAACGAATATTTTCGACTTAGAAATATACGCTACTGACTGCGAAATTCAATGATGCGGCGGATAGACGGTTATATTGAAGCCGAAGGAGGCCATTTCCAACACTTAATTTAGTGCAATTCGTTAGTCTAGATCAGGGATCTCCAAACTTTGAAGCCTTCGGGCCATAATGATTTTTTCAGTTTATTCCTAGGGCCAATTTCTGCCCTTGGCTATATTTATAGACTAGGATAGTCGCAAAGTGCGTGACCTAAGCAAACTTTGTATTTCAAGTATTATTGTGTACAGTGACACTTAACGACATCTAGTGGCGAGTAGTGGTACTATGTACTATCTTTTTTGGCTACTCGCTAGGTGGCATTGGGCGTAATTGAATATTTGGAATTACCGCGTTGGTTCGAGAAAGTTCTGGTTCTAGCTAGTGTATTCCGATCACCTCGAGATGGCAGTAATAATTGCATATAAAAAGGCTAGCGGCGCAACTACGAGTTAGTCTGCGTAGGAAAGGAAATAAAGTAACACCCGTCAATAAAAGTATTTTGATTTGACTCATTGTTTTTATGTTTGATTTGTTAGTATGGAAAAGAAGCGAAAAATCAACAGTAACCGAGTAATTATCATTCTGTTTTTTTTTCTTCCACTTATCACAGCAATAGTAACAACAATTAGGTAATCATTGGCTGTCGCGGGCCAGATTGATGACAGTAAATCATTGGCTGTCGCGGGCCGGATTGATGACACTTGCGGGCCGGATTTGGCCCGCGAGCCGTAGTTTGGAGACCAAAGATTTGGAGACCAAGATGTTGTTACATAATTAAAAATGGAAAACTGTAAAAATAATAATTTCCAAAATAAACATTTGATGACCCATATTATTCCTTGCGAGGTCCAGGGATATACAATTAGGTCGACTTTTTTTTCTTAAAAACTAAGCAAGATACGAAAAAAATTCTACGGACAAAACAGTTGTATTTCTAATTGCTCAATCCAAAGAAATAATAAAAATTGCACAAAAGCCAGTGACGTACATTTTTAAGTCAAAAATATTCGTTCAAATCCCGCTCGAGACGCCACTGGACTCAATAAATTGAATCACGTTCGAGATAAATTAGCGCCTTAATGTTAATAATACCATTGGCAAATTACAATAAAATTAGACAAAGGATATTTAAGATATTTACGAAAAACTTTTTTATTTTAATACCCTGTATCTTGAGAACGAAGAATTTGCGGACCCATGTTTATATGAACATTTCGTCTTAAAATTACCTGAAGAATCGTCTGTTGAGTTCATAGTACATACTTAATTAACACCCTGTATATATTATTATGTATAAGAGAGATCTCCAATCCAAATGGAATAACGAGACAAGTTAGCTGCTATAGTAAAAAATTCCACTTCTGGAATGGATAATTCTTGAGAAAGGGAGGTTTCGGCTTTCTACTTCTCCATCTTCATGCAAAAAATGTGGGGATCTTCCAAAGAAAGAAAAAGAAAGCAAAAAATTCAAAATAAATTCTTCACACATTCAGCGCTTGCGTGTAAGTGAAACTGCATATGTTTATTGCAAAAAATCCAAGTAACAAAAGTGGTAGTAACATAAATGTATCACTCTGTGCAGTTAGTTAATAAATAAAATGACGACATTGACCTCATCAACTGTTGAAGATAACCGAGTAAGTGATAACTTATCACTATGTAGCCGGTTCCAAGAACTTGTCATCAACAAACGCAATTCAGTTAGTCGTTTCTTGACCATTTGATCTCACAAAAATATTTTTCCATAGTTTGCCCCACATCCAAAAGTATGGGATTCGTTTGGAGCGCTTTGGGGTTCAAAAACACTGGAAGAACTGACGATCCTGATCCGGTGACAGGACTGACGTCTAGAGACAGATATCTAGTGAAGAGTTCTTACGAAGCTGTGAGGAAAAACCCAGTGGAAAGCGGCGTCAGTTTATTGAATTTGTAAGTTTCGATCATTAGGTTAGCTTTTTCCATCATATAATTATAAATAATCTTTAAAAAAGTTGTTCAATTCAATAGAAATAAATGAATGACTATTATAGAACTGAATCCAAGTTTGTATATGTGTGGTGCCAAAATATAATACGATCAAATTTGATAAGAGTTTATTAGAAGGAGATAGATGGCTGGAAAAAAGACAACAGCCTGAAAAACATCCGTATAAAAAAATGATTTTTATCATGAATGTAAGTTGATGAGAAAATACGAATAAATATTGATTTGTTCGAACTCAAAATCAGGAGAGAACACTTCAAAAATTTTGATAATTCCGTATATGATCTCATATTTAAAAAAAAATGAAAAATTGAAGAAGAAACACTATATTAATTTTTTTTTGAAAATGATTCATCTAAGAATTAGGATACGGTTACATTAAAGATCGTGAGATGAATTACATTCTTCTAAATATTTTTGAAGTGTTTTCCAATTGCGAACGTCTTCTGGAGCTACTTTTAAGAAAAAAAACACAAACATAGGTCCAAAAGTGCATTGTTTTCGAAATACTGGGTATTTCTGATATCACCACTGTGAGTAAATAACCCTCATACGATTCTTGTAATATATGTCAATGCTTCTTTCTGTGATGAGAACTTGAGTCCAGTGGCGGCTCGAGACACAGTTTAGTCAAAATTATTGACTAAAAAACTTACGGCACTGACGTTTCTGCTAACATTCAATTTCGTGTTGGGTGCCTTATTCAAAACTTGAAACCAGTATGATCTGAAAAAGAAGACACTCATTGAATAATAAGTATTGAAATTTTCTTTTGATTTTCCAAAATTTGAATTCAGAATATAGGTTTGACTCAAAAGTTTTGTCCGTTTTTATAAGTCGATTGATTCCGCCATCATAAAAATTGCGTGCTTGAGATTCGATGAAGTCGACGAAGGCCGTTTATGCTTGGTCCTGATTGGCGAAGGTTCTACCGATGAGAAAGTTCTCGAAGTTCTCGAAGAGACGGTTAGGTTAGGTCCAAAGTGAGTGGGTCTATTCGAATATCCACCGCAACCCGCAAGGGTTTATTGTGGCTCACACCTATTCACACTCAGTTCACTTCTCAACGAAGCCGATTAGTTTGTATGGTGGGTGGTCTTTCAAGTCAAATGGTAAGAGTACGGCTCTGCCGAACTCTAAAAACCTGATTTGGTCCCCAGCGGGGCAGGCACAAAGTATGTGCTCTGCTGTTTCATCACTTTCCAAAGAGATGTGACACACACTGTCCTCCGACAGTCCGAGTTTCTGCTTATGATGATTCAAATGACAGTGTCCTGTAAGAAGGCCTGTTAGACATCGTAGTTCATCCCTACTGTAGTCCAACAACTGTTTGGAATCAAGCTTCGAAGGGTGGATAAACGCCTTGGAGTGAGCCACTCCTGGAAGATTCTGCCAGAAGTCCATAAATCTTCTTGCCATCCAGATGTTCACTCTTTGTTTGGAAAAGCATAAAGCGATGCCAATGACAGGTTTTGGTCCGATGAAGCTGCTTGTAGCATCCTCTTTTGCAAGGGAGTCAGCAGCTTCATTGCCTTTCAGGCCGAGATGGCCAGGAATCCAGACCAAAGACGTTTAGTCTTCGTATCCAGGAGAGTTGTTTAGACGTTGCTCGGTAGGAGCCAAAAGCTTGCAACTGCGCTTGACTGTCCGAGAATATTTTTATTGACTTTTGTATGAGGTTGGATTCTCCCAATGTTTTCACATATAATTCAATAGCGTGAATTTCCGCTTGAAATACAGCCGCATAAGTTCCTAGGCAGGTTGATATCTCTGTCCTGGGTCTGCGACTGAAAACACCTGCACCGTAACCGGAAGGTGTTTTTGATCCATCTGTGAACCAACATCTATCTGATCTTCATATTTCCTTCCCGAAGTCGATAGTGGCTTAGCGAGAGATCTGGGGAATGTGGTGGGTGAGGCATGACTTCGATGTCGTGAAGCAGGATCGGACCTATTCGGTTGAGCAGGGCCGGTTGCTGCTGAGGCAATTTTCGGTAATTTTTTGTCGATTTCCTTCCAATGGGACTTCGCTGCGATGGTTTGGCCCGATTGCAGAAAGTTACAGTGAACTACACCAGACGCTGACCACCATACAATAACCATGGTCTTTTTTCATTGGATTTCCGCCTTTGGAAAGGGCCTAAGTGGCTCATCGATGTCCAACCACTGTTTCAAACGTCTCCTGTTGTCGGAGATGATCCACTGTTCTTCACACGTGACGATCCGATCCGAAAAAGGATCGTTTCGGTTACGCAAAATCAAAGAACATACCACGAAAGGTGACAGTTTTTGTCAATCGTTCCAATTGCGGTCCAATTGCGATCAAAAAAAAATAAAGAATCTTCTGAAATGCTGTACCATTTCCAGTTCAATATTACAAGAGTGACTTCCACTATTCGAAAAAGTTTCAAGCACGAAATCTGAAAACATTTTTCGAAAACGTCTCCATTGGAAATGGAGTTGACATATTTTCCAACTCCATATCATATTCCTGAGAGAACATATTATTAGTGGAAAGTTTCCTAATCGGCACCTTCCATAACTGTTTTGAGAAATCATTTGAATACCCTCTGATTTCATTATTCATTCACTTCGTTTCCAGGTTGTTCAAGAATCACCCAGAAGCATTACAACTATTTCCATTCAAAGATATCCCACTGGATGAGTTACCAAAAAACCGCAAGTACCAAGCACACTGCAACAGTGTCATTTATGGATTCAGTGCAATAGTTGACGCTATTGACGATGTAGAGTTGCTAGTTCCTATCCTAAATAAAGTTGGAGAATCCCATCAGCCTAGGAAAGTAAATGAAGAATCATTTTTGGTGAGTGTTTCCCATATGAAAGTGGTGAACCAAATAAAAATATTTGATATTTCTTGAGGCCTTTGGCACTATGTGGCATGTGGGTTTGCTTGCCAAACTTCAGTGATATGGCTGTCCAGCTTCCTGAAAGAACGTTCCCTGCAAGACTGTTGATAGATATAATAATAATAATAATAATTTTTATTTTCCTTTAGACAATAAGAAATTGTATAGATCAACAAACGCAATTCAGTTAGTCGTTTCTTGACCATTTGATCTCACAAAAATATTTTTCCATAGTTTGCCCCACATCCAAAAGTATGGGATTCTTAATAATAATAATTTTTATTTTCCTTTAGACAATAAGAAATTGTATAGGAATTGTCTTAAAAGCAGAAAGTAGATTAACAGAAGTTAGGCATACTAACAGTACAAACCACAGTCTCATTCTAAAGATAATTAGATGACATAAAAAATAAAATATGACAAAATTTTCACAATAGAGTTAGATTATGTTACATTAGCTTGCAGAAAAAAACGAATCCACGTCATAAAAACACTTTTCGATCAAATACGATCAAGTACTATTATATTTGATGACTTCGAACATATCATTGTTCTGCAATGGGGAACATCTAAATTATTTTTTTGTCTGGTATTAAGATGATGAATATCAGATCTCAGTATAAATTTAGCTTTATTTTTAAATACGTATAAACAAGTTTCAAATATAAATATAGACGACATTGTTAAAATTCCCATATTTTTAAAACTATAGCAGTCCAGTCTTACTCCTTATAACTCTTTTTTGAGCAATATATACTTCATTTGCCAAGGGGGATATGCCCCAAAAACAAATTCCATAACGAAGTCTATTATCGACTTGTGCATAATAGAGTTGTCGTAGCATATCAAGACTGAGGATATGTCTTAAGTTCCTCAGCTGGAGGGATATAGTATTCAAGTGGGAAATCAGATGTTCACATTGAATTTTCCAGGTGAGACCTTCATCAACATGTAAACCCAGGAATTTTACAGATTCTTCACCCGTCCTAAGATTATGAAAAAATAGTTCTTCACATTCTCTCTGTCTATTATGATACCTTATCACCTGCGTTTCCTCCATGTTCATGAAAAGGAGGTTAGCAGCACTCTTCCATACTGGTTACTGTTAGTTCACATTGTTTGACTGATGTTGCATTGTCATTAGATGATAAGACAACGGACGTGTCGTCTGCATATAAGGTAAAAAAAGCGGGAACGTCCAGTTTGTCAATATCATTGATATATAATAAGACTAATACAGGTCCCAAGACGGACCCCTGTGAACCCCTATATTTATGTTTCTTATTTGGGACGATGCATTATTTACTTTAATGTACTGCTTTCGATTTTGGAAGAAGTTTGAAAGCCATTTTAGTGATAAATCCCTCATCCCATAACGAGATAGTTTTTCTTTCAAGATATCATGATTGACACAATCAAATGCCCTGCTGAGATCGCAAAAGATCCCAACAGAACACTCGCCGGTGTCAATACATTTTATGATTCTATTGTCAATACTGTTCAGTATTCCCATGGTTCCACAAGAAACCGCGAGTCTGGTTGAGATATGTTGACGACACCTTCATAATATGGAACTGATAAAGTCAATATATTGCCAGGAAGTTCGATACACATGAACGCAGTGTTCCAGATGGAAGAGTGTTGGGTGTCTGGAGACACCCAACATTTTGTTTTATGGAATAGAGGACATTGGCATATCAAGATCTCCAGTTGATGTGATGCTGCAGGTCCGGGTTTTCCTGCAGCTGAAAAAGCAAGTGCGCCACTCAAATCGCCCCGGAGCGCGAATTAATTTTTGTTGTTTCACGATTTCATGATCTGTTACTTTCTACTTCAGTCTCCAGCCATTCAAATCCAAAGTGAATCGCTACTTTCGAACAGGCACCGCTCTCAGAGCGCCTTAAGGATTTTCCTATAGTGCTTGTGTTTTGTCCCTAAAAAAAACGTTTCTGTGCTTCTCGTTCTGTTTCGTCCTAGCTTGTGCCGTTCCATGTTGATCCATTGAACTTGAATCAAACACCTTCTAAACAGAGTGTCGGTGACTAGTGATTTGGTTCTATGTGCATACACCTTCCAAACTCACTTTGATTTCTGTCAGAGTGTTGCTAAATGGAATATTTCCCTTCCGCTTGGAGCTTTGTTCACGAGATTGAGTTTTCAATTTTTCTCTCAGTGATGTTTTCATACACTGGGCCGCGTTTAGAAAAATGCATGAAGAAGTCCTTCCGAAATAATATTTTCAAACATTGAATGTCACCAAAGTTATTTTTTTCTATCCAGTTTGTATGTGAATGAAATAGATGTCATTCACATGAAATTCTAGGACTATTTCCAGAATAGTGCAGTCAATGGACTTAGGTTATTCATGCCCCCCAAATATGAATTGCAGTCCTCGCGGTGCTGGTTCCCTTTCAGTGGAAGAGCTTCATGAAGTAAGAGCCGAATCGATCCCTCTACGAAACCCTTCTTCACTTGGAAGGATAGATCGCAGCTTGGGAAATGGTTCTTATGCAGATTTTGTGGAAAACGTTCTTCCTTACGAATCAGTAGAAAGTTGTCCTGAAAATTAAAAAAAAAATTGGATAATTCAGGAAACACTTGCTACATGAATAGCATTTTACAAGTGTTGTTCTTGACAAAAAATGTCAAGAACGAGCTTTTAATGATGAACGTGAACGAGATTGTTTCCTACTCATTCACCAAACTCAAATACCTGTTTATGCAGCTGTAGATTCATAAAAATATTTAATTTTTCCCTCCAACCAATTTCCTGGAGTCTTTGAAGTCCACTAGATACTCGTTAGGACAAGAGGATTGTTCTGAATTCTTGAGGTTCTTGTTGAATACTCTTCGTGGGCTAAACAATAGCAGAATCAATACTCCTGACACTACTGGATTGAATGATTCAGTACAGTCTATCGTGTCTTGTGTTTGTAATAAATGTTCAAGAGGTAGCAAAAACGTATGTGAATTTCTGGAACTCACTCTAGCGTTTCCTAATATGACTAAAAACCAGTCCGTGCAAAGCTTATTGTTGAATCATCTGAAAATGGAACTTTTAACGGGTGATTGATCAACTGTATTGCCAAACATGCGCCAAATTAAATGACTAGTATAAGAAAACAGGTATAGCTGAGGCACCAGTCATTCTAATAACAACACTGATGATCTTCAAACAAGACTCAATCTCTGACGGAAGCACCAAACTCTTACGAAGGTTCGAAATAGATGAACATTTCAATCTAGCAGACCACTATTATAATATTCATGCAGTCACTGTTCACTGTGGTTCTGGCGTTGAATTTGGTCATTATTACGCCTTGGTCAAAGACGAAACGGACTGGTTTAAGTTTGACGATAGTCGTGTCACGAATTGTTCTGGCGATGTATTGAATTCATTGAAGCCTCTGGAGACACCCTACATTTCGTTTTATGAGAGAGAGGACGTTGGCAGATCAAGATCTTCAGATGATGTGGTGCTGCAGGTTTTTACGGGTTTTCCTGCAGCTGAAAAAGCAAATGCGCCACTGGAATCAATGAAGTCGCCCCGGAGCGCCAATTAATTTCAATTATTGTTTTATAATATCCAAACTGTTTATCTAAATATACAGTGGAAAATAATGGCTGAATAAAATGTTGTAGTTTCAACTCCTGAGAACTGAATATATTCGATTCATTTATCATGAGAAATTGCATTTGCAGAACACTATATTATTGTATTTTTAAAGTATTCATTATAGAACTTCTAGAAAAAATATTCCAAATTTGTGAATTTTCCAAACAATGTATGGAAATTCAATAAACAGTTTTTTTAAACTCGTTTTTTTATTATTTCACCGCAATCGACGTCCAGAAAATGATTACTTTCAAACCACATAACAAAAATTTTTTACTCGACATTGATGAACTTCTGTTTTTCAGCAACTCAAGGACACCATTATAGAGTTGTTCTCGACATTTATGACCCCCCTGGAAATAGCTTCATGGAAGAAAACTCTAGATGTAGCAATTAGTGTGATAAACAAAGCTGTCAAAGATAAGGCAGCGGCGTAAGATAGCTAATATTATAGATTGTTTTACTGAATGTTATATTGTGCAATGTAATTTTTTTACGTTAACGACTATATTGTCAAATTCGACTCAAATTTCTATTTTTGAATAAACTAGTTTGAGAAAAATGAGTTTTTCAATTCAACTGATTTCATTATACAAAATATCACTCACAATTTGTTTTGGCTCTACCCCCATTGATGGTGCTTCAATTATTTTGTGTCTTTCATGAAACTTTCACTTATTTTCCATAATGTTTTCCTATTTTCAATAAACACTATTATTTTCTTACTGACCAATCGTAGGTTGAATTTGAAATCAACTGATATTTCAGAACAATCTATCATATCCAATATAAAATTGAATGTAAATGGATTTCTGTATAGGAAGATCAAACTTCTTCTTGAAGATGATCACTTGGTGATCGAAACACGTAGTGAGGTGTTAAAATAACGGTTTTGTGTTAGGAAAAAAAACTCCAGTAATATTTATCAAGTTTTTTGACGATTATTCAAAAAAAACCTTGAAACATTATTTATACGACTTTTCAACTCAATTATTTCTCGAATTATTGTTGAAAAAACTATTATTTCAAATTTTGTAATCTAAACTACTTTATTAACTACAAGTAGTTATAAGATGAAGTATAATTTATATAATTTTATTAATTTATTACAGATTTAAAATTGACAATTTTTGTTTGCTTCCTCTATTTTTTTTCTTGATGATCTCTTTGATCTCTTTTGCGGTGGTGACTCGCATTCTTCAGTATCTTTTTCAATTTCTTGTATTCCGGTTGCAATTTCTTCGTCTTGCTTTAATCTACAGTAGTATTGCTCCAGTAGAAACGACACCTATGAGTTGTTATAGATCACGAATCAATTTTGTCTGGATTTCAGTGACAAAGACCCGTAGTATGTACGGTCGTTGGGAAGTATTTCTCAACAGTTTGTCTCTTCAAAAAACAAACATCAATAATTGACTCCTTCAGAAGTATATAACAAACAATTGCAGTGATTTATATACCGGAAATCTATCGAGTTTTGAACATATTCAAGCCTAATTACATTCGAATAACACAGTGTATCACATCTGATGCATACCAATGTTGTTTCAGGAAGTTTACCAACAAAATATTACAGTCACAAACGTTTTCTGCCAAGGCCGAACAAAAACAAAGACGCATTAAGATTCTTCTATAGTCTAGAGATAAACATGTTTTGTTATGAGTATCTCTATTAGTCAGTTATTTGCGTTTAACGATTCTGGTGCAGATTTTTGAGCATTTGAAAATTCTTGTGAGTAAAGAGAAAACAAATCAATCACCAACTCTTCCCAATGAAAATCGCATTTCAGTAATCGTAGTTTGAGAGTTGGGAATACCTCAAAGGTGCAATTGTTGTGAGCCACAGTCAATTTCAGATTGGTAGTGATTTTTGGACGTTTTCAACAAACAGAGGTGTGGCCCGCAAGATCGCCGGATTCAGGTTTGTTATACATTTATGTTGTTGCTTGAAGACTATAACTTACAGAACCCAAGCAGCATGACAGGATAATTCACGTTGAGGCTTTATTGCTGAAAGTTAAAACATCACTTTTGAAGTGTTTCAGAACGTCCGAAACCACTTTCAACTGAACCTCTATTGATAATGATAATAATTATCCAATTTTCACAATATAAACTTCATTCAAGGCACATTTCGCTACACGGTAGCTTCACCATTCACCACTGATATATCAAACTCGTCTACAATAGCTACTATTCTATTGTATTCTATATAATGAATAGTATTTCAAACATTCGTTCAAACTGGTATATACGATGTATAGGGGAGACCGGGGTAAGATGAAGTTCGGGGCAACACGGGAAGTAAGCTTGTGTGCGTGAATAGTAATCGTGTTCGGAGCGGCGACAGCGCCATTTGCACGAACTTCACTCTCCGTTAGTGTGTCCAAACAGAGCGAACAGGTTAGAACTCGTTTTTGCGTTGCAGAGAGAAAAAAGTTATATTGCAAGTGTTTTTACGCGATATTTGATTCAAAAACTGATGTACAGACATGTAAGTACCTGTGTTGATGTATTATTTCAATCCCGAGCTTATAATAGTAGTCCAAAACATTAAATTCAAACCAGATTTTTTCGCCGGTAAAGTTTGAGGTTAGAATTGCGTCATCTTTTTTACCTACGTGTGGATCGGAGCAAGATGATCGGGGCATAATGGGATACTATCCCGTTTTGCCCCGCCCTTGTGATTAAAATAACATTTTCTATGTACTGATAATCAAGTGACTGAAAAAGGTAAAAAACAAATAAAGAAACCTGGAAAAAAGACTGCAAAGAAGATTAAAAAAGACAACTGACAAGGAAAACCTGCAGAAAAAGCGTCAAACCAAAAAGTGCAAAAAAGAAACTGAATCGGAAGATAGTTCATCACAATAATAGGATGATGACTGTGCTTGCATCTATTGTGGGTACTTATACTCAGATACAACCGAAGGTTGGGTCATCTGCGGCGTGTGCCACGGTTGGGCGCATAATTCATGTGCCGGAGTAGATGAGGAAGATGAAGAGGCACACATTTGTGAACGCACATAAGTAGAACTCGTGTGAATGATATCTGATTTTTATTCCACAACGAATGTTTGAAATACAAACTGAGTAGAGAAAAGTATCTTCTGTATAATTCAGTGTTCATATAGAAGTATTTGTTTCGAAAGAATTTTTTTTCTTTCGTGTAATTCAATGTTCATATGAAAGTAGCTGTTTCAGGAGGACTTTCTTTCAGTTTGTGTCTGAAAGTTACTTCTTTGCATGATCTACACATCCATGTATAGAATTACTTATTTTCAAATTCCTTTCTTTGGAAGATTCCCTCATCCTTTTTTTTTGTATCAAGAGGGAGTAGTAGACAGCCAAAAACTTTCTTTCCCAAAAATTAATCACTTCTAAAAATATAACCCCTTCAATTCAACCCAATATCATTAAGCAAATTGCAAAAAACAGAGGATTGAAAGATGAATTCATAGACAAAAACGTTTCAAAAAAATCTACGAAAAAGCGATTGGAGACGATTTTTCTATTGATCGAATCAAAATATAGAGCTTCAACATATTTTGGACAAACAACAGGAAAAGTGGCTTCATTTTTGAATAAACGAGATATTGAAATTGCATATATAACAGGTAAACGTTGGGGAACCTCTCTTTCTCAGTAACTTCATTCTTTTCAACAATCTTTTATAATTTTTCTACGATAACTAATCGTCTTCCCGTTATTTCTCGTTACTTCCCATTATTCTCAAAAGTCCACGATACCTTATTCGAATGCTCAACTGCAGAGAAAATATTTCCATCTGGAATGTTCATTAAATGGTCTCGACCCTGAGGAGGATTTCATGCGGTGAAGTTCAATCTTGCTCTTGTTCGATTCTCCTCTAGCTGTGTATCTTCTTCGTTTGAACAGACCGTAATGCGGCATTATTAAAACCACCTTGTTCGATACAAGCAAATTTATCGCAAATCCAGGGAGTTATTTGCTTCTTATTTGTGCATCCATTGAGATAAAATATAATCGAAATACACTAGTAACGTAGCTTACATTTGCTGTCAAATTCCAATTATTTTCTCAAACAATTTCAAATGTAGAGTTATTCATCATAGCTTGGAAAAAAATTAGAAGGCTTTTCAAATTAAATTTTTGCTGATATCCAAGAGATAGTTTTGTATGCTTTTCTCAAAACTATCATAAATAAACTTGAATTTCCAATTTGCATCCTTTCTTGTGTTCAGTATTTCTGAAAATATATTCAAAAATGATATTTACCCCCAGATTAATATCAGAATCAACCCTCAGTACCCTTGCTTCAATTTGCAAATATTTAATGTCGCAGACACTCGTATTTTATATCATGTATACCCAAAACAGTATAAAGGACGCAAAACTGGGCTTCATCAATTTGACGGTATTAAAATGCATCCCAAATGTAATAAAACATATCCGATATTCATGGCGGAAACATAGGAAATTAGGTAAATTGATCCATGCATAACAAATATGGCTTTGATGTTTTCTGATTATTGCAGAATGATACTCATTTGAATGAAATATGTTGCTTAGGATGTGGAGTGTACTCCGGTTACTAAGCCTAAGGATTAGGTTGGGAATGGGAAAAAATACCAGCGTGGTCCAAACAGAACTGGCTGATATCTCAATCGCCACAAAAGAAATAACCAAGAAAGGAATTTCTGGCAAAAACATAACAATCTGCACTGATAGCAGACAAGCCCAATTAGCTTTGAATAGACAACGTGTTGCCTCAGGGCTAGTACTAGAGTGCCACCAAGATTTAGCCAAAGCCTCGGTAGATAATAAAATCATCCTGAGGTGGATTGAAGGGCACGACAGGAGTAAAGGTAATCGCATTGCCGACTCTTTAGCCAAGGAAGCGGCTGGACTGTGACAGTGACATCTACGGCCTAATTGCAGAACTAGCCAAACGTCAGACCCATGCTCAATCCCTAAAGAGATGGGAAGAAATCAAAGCTGGGGGACCCTGGGAAGCTGGTGCCGAATAAATATCTGGCGATGACCAGGAAAACTCTACGCCTAACAGTAGGATTTCTGACTGGCAACTGTCAACTAAGGAAACACCTCCACAATATAGGACTAGTGGACACACCTCTATGCAGGATGTGTGAACAGGAAGATGAAACTGTCAGGCATGTCCTCTGCAAATGTCCGGAGTTATCCTCAATAAGAGAGTGTCTGTTCGGCGAGTCTTGGCCTACACCTGCCGATATAAAGGAGATGTCTCCCAGAGACCTGTCCACCTTCTTGGAAAGGACAGGATGGACGATGACTTAGGAGGACAACTCCTCGGGAGGATGTACAATAGGTCACATGTGGCCTAAGTGCTGGGAATTCAACTGTGTAATTCATTTCGTTCATGGAAAAGTTAATAATAGTGATAATTTCATTGGAATAGATATCCAATAAACAATCAATCGATCAAATATTTATTGAATCAGTTTTCTTTCACAATCACATTAGACAAAATATAACATAACATCATCATAAAATACTGGCTGATTCTACAGGTCGAACAAACATAAAAAAATCAATATAAAA